ATAATAATAATTAAAAAGGGTAATAATGCAGCTGCACAATCACTGTCACTCTGCCATAACAATCTGTTCAATATAATTCCCAACATAGAAAATTAATTCAATTTTTCTACTGAAAAGCATGACCTATAGCTTTTGGACGCATCTCTGCTCTTCAGCTCCAGGTTCTTGAATATATAGTGTCAGAAATGACCACAGATACTGTAACTACTTACCCATTCACTTTGGGTGATTTCCCAAAAGCGCTGCTCCGCGCTCACTCTTCTCTTTGCCCCAATGGTACGTGTCAATTTCACACAAGCTGCTGCGCGGCCGCATTTTGCCCCCAGCTTCATGCGATTTCCCCCGCGTCTACTCATTCCTGTTTTTTGAGGATTGAGTAGACACGGGGAAAATCGCATGAAGCTGGGGGCAAAATGCGGCCGCGCAGCAGCCTGTGTGAAATTGACACGTACCATTGGGGCAAAAGGGAGGAGTGAGCACGGAGCAGTACTTGTGGGAAATCACCCTTTATCAGCCCCATACAGTTCAACTTACACAGAGTGCTTATAGTGAAGAAATGTACCTATACACAAATAGCCTTGTGCTGTTCTGATACATTGGAAACCACATGGCTCCTACATTTGCTAGCAGTTTCTCAAAAGGGTGACATTGGTATGATAAATAGCTGTATCGCTGGCTCCTTTGCATGAGAGTTCAAATCTCTGGTGTGAATGCAATGGTGTGGGAAGGAGGCTTGCTGCAGTAGCTCCCACACTGTGGAGGTGACAGTGGAGGGGCTACACTACATGTTCCCCCAGTTGCTTAAGGCTGTAATCAGAAGTGAATCAAAAGTGGATGTAGAGCAGCAGTTTTCAAATTTATCTTTTTTCCGTGTGTGAAGGAGGCAACAGTTTTCTGGGAGGGGGGATGATTCTGAGAAGAAAATCATGCCACTAAGAAAGGCTTAAATATTCTCCCTCACCCAGCTTTCTTTTGATTGAAGCAGCTGCTTTTGCTGAGAAGGAAAAAAGAACCCACACATAGACCGATTCCCCACAAGCCGCTGCTCCTTGCTCGCTCTTCCCTTTGTCCTGATCCTACATGTCAATTTCACACTGTTTTTTGAGGATTGAGTAGATACGGGGAAAATCGCACGAAGCTGGGGGCAAAATGCGGCCGCACAGCACATAGTGTGAAATTGGCACGTAGGATCGGGGCAAAGGGAAGAGCGAGCGCAAAGTAGCAGCTTGTGGGAAATTGTCCTGAATGAACTCTGCATAAGATGTAGTTTAACTCCAACTCAAAGTAGGAGCAAAACCCATCCATAAAAATTGTCCAAAAATAAATTTGTACTAAGAACTATTTATAGTAAATCCATGATGTCCCAGAAAAGGAGAAAACCCTTGATTTCATGTTAGGACAATAAATGTTTCCTGACTCTAATAAACAGTCACTGGGATATCTACAAGATTTCTTTCATTGCTTCATCCAGCTCTTGAATCTTGTGCAGTTCTTTGCTCTGACAGCTGTTTGAGGGAGGATGCTCCTCACCAAGTAACTTTCTTGTGGTTTGCCATTTTTGCCTTTAGTCTTAATTTGTCTTTTTGGCTGGTAACTCAGAGAGCACTTGTAAGCAGGTCTACCCAGTTTTTTTCAGTGGGGTTTAACTGCCAGGGAAGTGTTCTTAGGATTACACTGTTAAGTCAATGTGTAACATTTTAATTCATTTTAATTATATGCATATTTACCAATTTACTGGCTGGCAACATGTTTCCAGGCTCAACTCGAAGTGCTGGCTCTTACTTTTAAAGCCCTCAATGACCCATGACTGGAGTATTTTGAGGACTGTGGGTGCCTGACTGCTCAGATCTTTCACAAAGTTCCCACTTAGGTTTCTCATCTTCTGAAGTTAGATGGATAGGCACTAGAGCAGTGATGGTGAACCTTTTAGAGCCCGAGTGCCCAAACTGCAACCCAAACCCCACTTATTTATCGCAAAGTGCCAACACGGCAATTAATTTAACCTGAATACTGAGGTTTTAGTTTAGAAAAAACAACTCATACATTAACATCTTTTGTCTTAAAAGAAAAACACAATAACAGAGCTTTCAATAATACAAACAACTTTTTATTGAAAGGTAAAAGTTTGCATTTGTCATTGTGGTCCCAAGATACATTTGAACAATTATTGTGATTTTTGTTGTTGTATGTATGCTGATAATTTGTCTAACCTTGGCTCATACTTTGTAAGTTTGAGAGCAACACATGCAGCACTCAGATCATCAGTCTGTTTCTGGTGTCAGATTTGATATAATTCAAAGCTGAAAACAGCTGCTCACAAGCATAAGATGATCCAAACAAAGTAAGGAAAGCAATCCTTCTATCTTCTCCAGTGTTTCACACAGGTCATAGAATTTATTTTTCCAGATAGAGCTTTCTTGAAATTCCAATAGCTCCATTTCCACATTTCCTAAATCTAACCAGGGTAAGCAGGAAAGATCAAGTCTAGAGCCTTAATGGAGGCCATTATTCAGCAGCTGCTTGTCCCAGCAGGAAGAGGCCAGGAGGCGGGCTGGCAAAGGAGGTCCCGCCGAGGGGATATACTAAAAGGAAGGACAGGATTGCCCATTGGAAACAATACTTGAAGGCCCATTGGAAATAATGGGAGCCCGGAATGCCAATTGACTTGCATGGGCTCCA